GGGCGTCGCGGCTACTCTCCTCGTACTCGCCGTTGTTGTTGTAGCGGTAGCTCAGGGCAGCCAGCAGCTGCTCGGAGAAGGTGCACACGGCAGCCACCAGGGCCTGGCAGAAGATGGCGTCCCTGCGCAGCTGCAGTCCGGTGTCTGGGGACAGAGGGGAGCAGGGGCCTCGCTGGGCGGCGGCTCCCATGCAGTCGGCAAGCCTGCACTCCAGCACTCTGGGCCCAGAGTCAGTCCCGGGACCCCCCAACAGGCTAAGTGGCCCAAAATAAAATTTTGGTGGACACCCAGGGCACCAACACCATCCCACCCAAATCCCTTCTCCCAAAGCCAGCCAGACGGCTGGACCCTCTCCTCTCAATGGCCCACCCACCTGCTGACAGCAGGAACAACTTGTGATTTTCCCAGGCTTTCCCAAAACCGTGACCCCGACCCTGCCCCTTCCCCCACCCCACGTCCCCACTTGTGATGGGACTGCTTGGTCTTGGCCAGCTGAATGGGACGATGCCAAGCTCTCCCGCCGAGCTCCCCACTTGGCCATCTCCCCTGCCTTGCCTCTTCCTGTGCCCTCCCCCTTGACCTCGACCTTGACCTGGTGTGAGGAACTAGCCAATTTGGAGCAATGGGTCATTCAGGGCCCACCCTCCTGGAACGAATTATTTCCAACAACTGGCTTCCAGCCAGTGGGTTTTAGTGACCAATTTTGACCTAGATCCTTCTGCAGCACCTCCTTGGCCCAGAACAGCAGGAAAGAAGAGAGGGACAGGGGATATCTCCCAGTGGCCCCTAGCCTCCTCCCAGCTGCCTGGGGCGGAGGGCTCTATCGGTAGAGAGCCTGCTTAGTCATCGGACCCTATCCTGCGTCACCCAGACCTGGCAAGTGGCACAAGATCAAGTTCCCGGACACAAGAGGGCAAAGCGAGGCAGAGACCAGGACCGGAAGGTAGCTTTCCGCATGCAGGTCTTGATGGACCATGGAGCCTGGCCGCCCTGGCTGTGGGCATGGGCACCACTGCCCGGAGGCCCTCCTGGGCACACCTGGGTATGTGCACGCCGCCCGGCCGCCTCACCCAGCCTCACCTGTGCACTTCAGCAGGGCCAGTAGGAGCTGGTTCTTCCCATCTAGGAGAAGGGAGAGAAGATGGAGGGGAGGCAGTGGAGGGTGGGGCAGGCCACCCCCCCGCCCGGTGCACTGCCCCTTCCTAGGCAAGGTTCAGGGACACCAGGGTGTATTCAAGGAGTGGTCACTGACTGTGGGCTGAATTCCAGGAACCCCAACTGTTAGCCTTCTCCGTCTGTACCAGAGACAAACCCACCCACCAGAGACAAAACCACCCACCAAAGACAAACACCAGCAAGCGCTCTTTAACTCCTGAGCTCAGCCTTGGCCCGTACCTTGTGCACACGCATGGGCACACACTAGCACGGGTACATACACTCACCAAATCACTTAACTGCACACCACACACATGCAGCCAAACATGCTTGCGCGCACATATGCACACGTACCCTCCACCACCACGGCCCTACACACAGGTAGAAAAAGCTATTCCTTCCAGAGAGGCCTAACGGCCTGGTCTCTTTCCTTCCAAAAGATGCTCTTGGACCCAGAAGGGGATGAAAAGAAAAAGCTGAAAGGCCTTTGGATTCAGTCTCTTGAGAAACTTCCTTCCCCAGAGGCATGCGACCCTCGGCAGAGTGTGGTCCTAACAGCGATGACTCTCCCTGAGGGCCTACTGCGGGTCCGGCGGGGTGCACCAGTGTTCTCACTTCATCCTCAGGACCACACAGGACGGAGGATGGAGCGACTAAGGCCCAGAGAAGTCAAGGAACTCGCCAGGCCACACAGCCAGTACCTGGGCGAGCTGGCATCCGAGCCCTGGACATCGGCCTCGAAGTCCGTGCTCTTAACTAACTCTGGTTTGAGAAAACAGGACAGTTCGCTCTGCCCAGATGTCTAACTCAGAGGCTGCTGCTCCCTGTGGGGAAGGCCTGGGGGTCCTGTACCTCCCGCTGGCCTGTCAAATGTCCCCAGGCCTAAGTCCTGCTGACCCAGCAGTCCCAGACTCGAGTAACATTAAGGGCAGGCAGGCTGGCAAAGGTGAGCCACGTGGAGCCGACACCAGGCACGGGGGCAGTGGGCTGCACTAACTGGAAAGCACCTTCCCGGCTGGAGCGCAGTGGCCATCATCGCCAGCTGAGTGGCGTGATGCAGGCCTGAACCCACTTCTCGGGGTGTTTGAGAGCAGCCAGAACCTCGGTTTGTAGGCAAGAACTGAATGTGAATACTGGCGGGGGAGCCACACTTTTTGACACGGTGGCCTCGAAACCTAGCAGTGAGCCCACATCTGGCCGGAGGCTGCCCGCTCATGACCCGGATGACAAACAAAAATAACTGAGCCAAAATCACTGCCATGGAGGCTGAGAACGAGCAAGTTCAGCCTTGTCAGCCTCCTGACTCTAGAAACAGGCCTCAGCCATAGGATACCCAGACCAGCAATCCCGACCACGTCCTGTGACCACAGCCCTGGGCCTGCCCAAGGCAGGATGCTCATGAGAGGGGGCTCCCACCTTGCCCTTACCCCAAGCGTGGCAAGCTGGGCACCAAGATGGATCCATTCCTGATCCTTCCACATTCCACATTCAGAGCCAAAGGCTACAAACCCCCACGTGGTACATCCTCCCCTGCCACTGACCTTCCACGTATCTCTGGATGTTGTCCACCAGGGTCTTGATGGAGTTGGGGAGGTTCCAGGGGTCCTCCTGGATGCTGATCTGGATCAAGCTCCGGCCACGGATTGTACACTCTTCTTTCTGTTTGAACTCTGGGGTGGGAAAGTGGCATGAGGGCCAGGGAAAGGACAAAGGTAGCTTTGGAGAACGGTGGCACAAAGTCCCTGTCTCATCACCAGATTCCAAAGCTTATAATCCTAGATCAAAGGAGCCAGCGGGGACCGTTGGGTATCTGGTACACAGTCACTGTGCTACTTGCTCCATGGTACCAATCCATGGCAGACATCACTGATCTATCTCAGCACTTCTTCCTGCTAGTCTGAGGCTATGATTCCTCATAGTTACAGCCCATCCCGTGCAGACATCACTAATCAATCACAGCATATTTTCTTACAAATAATGGATATTGTAGCCACAGAAGGATTCTCAAGTACTACCTTCTTGTAGCCACAACTAATCGCACAGGTTCATGAGCTGTCACCTAGTCACATCTTTTCCCTATGCAGAGGAAGAAGCCCAGGTACAAGATGGGAAGGTGACTTGCCAAGTCACACAGCTAAGCAGTGATCAAACTGGAACTTGACTCTGGCTCTGGCAGGACCATTCAAAGGCCAAGCAGACACAGGCCCCTGTTCCTCTGCCTCTCCCTTGCTATAGACCCCAGGTTTCTAAGATATCTATGGTTCAGGTTCCTCTGAACTTGCCATCTCTGCTTTCTGAGGTCCATCCCAGGGAGGGATGAGCAGGGGGCACAGATAGACTAGGGTGCCCCAACTCCTCACCACCTCCTACCCTGACTCAGAGCAACCACCTATCTGCCCTCCTAGCTCCTATCCAACTGGGTGCTCCTGGGGATCAGGGCAGCACCAGATGCATCTCAGAGTCGCCAGTGCCAGACACAAGGCCCAGCACAAGCTAGTTCTGGGGATTATTTACTGCATGTGTATATGCGTGGCTAGACGGGGGTGGTGGATGCGTACACGGACGGATGGATGATGACAGGTGGACGGAGAGATGGACGGATGATGAGTGAGTGGGGGTGGGGGTAGATGGGTAAACAGGTAAATGGGAGGGAAAGTAAGTAGGAGAGCATAATAAATTTCCATTTTTCCCTCAGTCATTTCCAGAAGGAAGTCTCGATCTGCCACAGGTAAGTCCTTGACACTTCCGTAACTCGCAGATGCTGCTCTTAAGGAAACCACAAAGATCCCTGGCAGGCAACAGGAGCCAGCTGCGGTGGAGGGGCACTTGTGGTTGACGTTTCTATGGAATTTATCACTACGGTTCATTGCCAACTTATCACGTTACGCTGGTTTTCCATATATAGAAGTTCAGGGTCTTTTCAAAATTAGATTTTTAAAGGGGGAATAGTTTTGAAAAAAAAAAAAAAGAGAGAAAGAAAGAAAGAAAGAAAGAAAGGAAGAAAGAAAAAACAGTTATGTCAGAACCAGCAGATGGTGTGGTAATTAAGGCAATGGACTCCCACATGGCAGACAGCAGTTCAAGTCCCAGACCTGGAGGCCTGCTTTCTTTCTCTCACTCTCTCTCTCTCTCTTTCTCTCTCTCTCTCTTTCTCTTTCTCTCTCTCATGAGCACATGTGCCCAGTAACAATTTTTTAAATACTAATAATAAATAAAATTAAATAATTATTCTTTAAAAATGGTTAAGTCAATAATATCACAGGCAACAAATGGATGTGGTTAAAAATGAGGTGACAGGGCTAGCGGTGGTGTAGTGGTTAAGGCACTGGACTCATACTTGGCTGAATGTGGTTCAAGTCCCAGATCTAATGGCTTGAAAATCACGCTGGGCATGTGAGGCTGGAGGAGAAGGGACTGTGATATGGCCACGGGGTGTTTTCTCACGTTCCCCCGCCTCCTCCCATAAGCACATGTGTCCTATGACCAAAACCTTAAAATTAAAAAAGGGATGACATGAGCAGACCCTGTGAACATGGCTGAAGTGAGGGGTGTGACAGCTGAGGCTTTGAGAGCCACCTTTGGGCCACCCCCTGCGTTACAAATGGGCAGGCCCATGAAGGCCCGGGGACCAGCCCAGTCCCTACCCCTTTCTCTAAAGAGCCAGGTAGTGACTAGGTCAGGCCCTGCAGTCTGTCATGTTTTGTTTCTTTTGTTGTTGTTGTTGTTGCTTTTTTTTGTTTTGTTTTTAAAATCCTTCAAAAAACTCCATACCTCACAATCCAGACTTAAACAGGCCATGGGCTGGCTATTGCCCAGGAAATCTGTTGAATCCTGGACTAGCCTATCACCACCAGGCAGGAGCGGGACGGGCAGGAGAGGGACAGGCAGGAGAGGGACTGGTCAGGAGAGGGACCGGCCAGGAGAGGGACCAGGCAGGAGAGAGGGACCAGGCAGGAGAGAGGGACTGGCCAGGAGAGGAAACGGGCAGGAGAGGGACCAGCCAGGAGAGGGACCAGGCAGGAGAGGGACCGGGCAAGAGAGGGACGGGCAGGAGAGGGACTGGGCAGGAGAGGACTGGGCAGGAGAGGGACCACGCAGGAGAGGGATCAGCCAGGAGAGGGACCGGGCAGGCGAGGGACCGGGCAGGAGAGGGACCGGGCAGGAGCGGGACGGGCAGGAGAGGGACCAGGCAAGACTGGGACCGGCCAGGATCAGGACCAAGCCGAGAGCATGGCTGGCACCCTGCATGGACGGCAGCCTGTCCATGTCTCCACTGGACACTGGCGTCCTCACCTTGTAAACTGTGGTCCATGGGGAAGTGCTTGGTCTCCTCGAAAGCCCTGCCCATGACTGGCCCCTTGAGGAGTGCGTTGATGGAGTCCACCTGGCGGCAGGAAGCTCCAAGTGAGCAGGGGCCCCAGGACCCTCTGCTCTGAGGGAACCACAGGCCCTGCCCCAGCCCCCGGGTCATGGGCTCCCCCCGGGGCTGGGGCCAAGGTCTCACCTGGTTAAAGAGGTGCTCCAAGCAGCCATGAAGCTTGTCCTGCTTGTCCGAGGGGATCCGCATGTCACAAGGCAGCTCATCCCCTGGCAGAAGGAAGAAGCGGCAGCCGTGAGCCGTCCTGCCCCTCCTCATACCCACCCAGCCTTCTCTAAGAAGTCGACATTGCTACAAGGGATCCCATGAGGGATCTGCAGTCTGACAGACCCTGGCCCTGCCTGTGAGTCCCTAGGCAGACTGCTTGCCCTCTCTGAGCCTTGGTTTCTTCATCTGCAAGATGGACAAGCCCCAAAGCATGACAAGGCGTTGTTATTTCCATTCCGCAAGTGAGGACACTGGGAACCAAGGTGAAGGGAATGGGTCCCAGATCACATGACTCACGTCCCCGCTGCCTCGGTTAAAGCAGCCGCCATGCTTAAGCCCCTCCTAGCACCTCCCCAGGCACGGTTTTTTTTAATATCTTATGTGATGAAGTATACTTAAAATCCTATTTTTATGCACAGACCACCTCTGGAAAAGTGCACGAGACAGCAGTGACAGTGAGAACAGTGGTCACAGCCCGAGCAGCAGAGCATGGGGACAGGAGCAGGGCAGTCTCATCACCACGCACCCTCTCGTGCCTTTGGAACTGTGAACCATGAGACTACCTGGCCTATGCACGACGTTTTCTAAAAGTCTAAAGTAAACAAGATTAAAAGAAGGAAAAAACAAATTGCCTTCAGTAAATTTTGCAAGTACAGTATGATCTCATTTTTAGCATGTTATTTACATCTGTCTGTCTGTCCACCCATGTGTCCATCTCTGCGTAAATATGCATTTGTCAATGGCCCCTAAATATTAGCAAGGGTCAATTCTGGGGAGAGGAGGAGATCCTGATTTATTTATTTATTTATTTATTCCTTTTTTGGAGAGGTTTTTGCTATAGGGCGCGTGCGCTCGCCAGACAGACAGACAGACAGAGAGACACAAAGTGAGAAATCACCCCTCAGGGGGGATGGTCACGCCGCAATCCCTTCTCCTCCATTCTCCTCTCGGGATCTTGGGCACACACGGACACGCGCCCGGCCTGAGTTTTAAGCCACTGGGTCCGGGATGCGAACCGTGGTCAACTACATGGGGGTCCCGCGACATAGCCATTACGCTAACTGCTGGTCCCCGATCCTGATTTATTTTTATGTACTTCTTTTGAACTTTGCCATGTCATTTGGACTGGTGGTTCGTGCATGTTGCTATGGAAACCATCAGGTCACCCAGTTCTGCGATCACCACTATATATAGTACTGGGCCATGCACGATCATATCCTCATCCATGTATGTTCTACGTGCTCCATGTCTGCGACATTCACAGAGAGCATAGCTCTGGGAGGGCCGGGTTCTGTGTGCCGCTCGCGGCTGTGTTCCCAGCGTCTGGCACATAATAGGTGCTCAATAATCATTTGCTGAATGCAGTACAATAACATGCACTAGAACACAAAACAATATGTAAAGCATAATACAGTCAAAATGTAACAAAATGCTACCAGGGGCCTCTCCCCAAGCACGAGCCACTCCACTCACCTGACCCCATCTCATCGCTGCCCAGGTAGGAGCTGTTACTTCTCACACTGGTGTAGGAGAGCACTGAGTCCCGGTTGCTGTTACACTCACTGCAAAGGAGCCAAGACAAGGGGCCGAGTCACCCTACGGCTCCCACCCTCAGGTCCTGGCACACAGAACCTACTTTCTGGAGTGTAGACCAAGCCCTGGGTATTCAGTGGACAACCATCCAGAGACAGGGGAGTTTTCCACGTCTGAGGATGGGAGACATTTCCAGGCCCCAGCACAGAAACGCAGAAATGGCAGGAGGAGGGTATCTTGTGTCACTTCTGTCCAGTGTCCCCGAGGCTCCTGGGCCATCACTCTTCTCATAGGATAGCCAGGTGCCTGGTCATACCTGCCTGAGCCACACGCAACCACACGGTTCCATTTCTGTCCACCCCCATCCTGGCTGGAACCTCACAGGGACAGGCACTGTGCTTAACTAGCTGTGTCCTGGGAACCCGCAGGGTACAGGGAATCGAAAACCACAACCCAGAAATTCTTTCCTTTATCTTTTTGACAATTAAAAGACAAAATCAGAAGACCAACAACGTAAGGACAAGAATCCAGAGTTGCAGAGAAATCTTGGGCTGCGGGCACAGGGCTCCGAGGACAGACCCAGGCAGCCAGGGCATCTGGTACTCAGACACCCGATGACCCCTGCAGACGGAATACAAGGTGCGGAGGATGGGAGGTAGGACCTGCCTGCCCGTCTAGTTACAGCCGTCCGGGGCTTCACCTGCAAACAACCGACCACCCTCTACACATCTCCCATCACCACTAGGTCAAATGTTAATCAACCTCGCACGGCAGCCTGTAACGCGTGCTTCGCCGTGGCAAGGAATCCTAGCTACCCACAAGAGGGTTTACCATGGGAAACTGAGTTTTAGTCGACTTCACCCAGGAATTAGGTCCTCACTGATCTTGTTATAATTAACCAGTAAAAAAGCAATGTAGATCCTCTAGGAGTTAGGAGGGAAAACAATCTTCCTGGATCAAGTACAAGTAAATAGTATCTACTGCAGAAACCGTACGTGTTAGATCGAGTTCTGAAACACACCACAGAATCGTGGCTTTTTGACAATGACCCATCAGTGCAGGTCGATGACACTGAGCAGAATGAACAGAGCCCTGAGAACCTTAGCTCCGGGGCCATGGAGGTGAAGCAGAGGCCCCCCCCCCCCCCGCAGAACCACGCTGTTAACAACCGCACCCCACACCCTCCTGCATCCTAGGCACTGACCCACCAATCTGGACTTTTCTGCGGATCAGTGGCCTCCACCGTCCCACACCACCACGGCCGCACCCACCTGTAGGAGTCGCGGTAGCTCATGGTGTCGTGACCTGAATCCTCCTGATCCTCCTCAGACACCTTGAAGCACACCTTCTTGATGCCCCCATGGTCAGCCCGGTCCATCTCGCTCTCTTCACTGACCAGCGGGGAGGGGGAGGCCTCCTCAGCCAAGGGGGGCTCGCAGGACCCAGCTGAGGTGGGCTCCGTGATGGTGGACAGCAGCCTGCAGGGAGAAAAGACCTTCGGGTTTAACACAGCGCTCTGCACTACCCAGGCCCCGCAATAGCGGCGCAGTGCGGGGCTCTCTGCTAGGTGAGGCGGGGCCATCAGGTAGGCCCAGGAGCAGATCCCAGGTCAGCTGGAACACACTGGGCACACCCACAGGAACCCGGGATCATGGCTGGCTACACGGCAGGGGGAAGAAGAACCACTGCATGACCGTAACGAGACGCAGTCAGGGTGTCTGCCCTCTCCCTTATGGAAGAGAAAGGATGAAGCTCAGAGGCCAGCTGATGGCATGGTTGTACAAAGAAGCTGGATCCCACATGGCTGACTACATGGTTCGAATCCCAGACCCTGAGGGTTGAAAGCATACTGGGCACTTGTGCATGCTGAAAGCAGGGGAAATGGAGGAAAAACTCGCTAGGTAATTGTGAGTCCGAAAGGCGGGAGGGGCGGGGGGAAGGGGACAGGAGGAAAAAGGTGTGTCCATGTCCTACGGGAAAGCTCCTTCTCACTCCCTGATCCCTGTCTCTCTCCAGTCAGTGCATGCGCCCTCTGGCAAATTAAAAAATCGATAAATAAAAAGAATGAAACTTACAGAAACAGAAAACAAAAGACATGGGCCCATAGATTTACTCATCTCATTGGAGGCCTCTGGCAAAGCCATGAGTGGGCCTTCCCTTGACCTCTGACCCTAAGCAGAGGGAACCAATAACACTTTGTGTCCTTTCCAATGAAAACCCCACGGAGTTCTTGGGACCAGCAGTTAGCATAATGACTCTGTTGCTGGACTCCCATGTAGTTGACCATGGTTCGAGTCCCAGACCCGGGGACTTAAACTCATGCCGGGCACATGTGTGTGCCTGCCCAAGATCCCGAGAGGAGAATGGAGGAGAAGGGATTGCGGTGTGGCCATCCCAGGGCGGGGGAGGGGGGGAGGATTTCTCACTTTCTGTGTCTCTGTCTCTGTCTTTCTGGTAAACACGCGTGTCCTATAGAAAACACCTCTCCAAAAGAAAGAAAACCCACAGAGTTCAGCAGATGGCTGGCAACTGACTCGGACCTCGCCGAGCCTGTAAGACATCACGTGATTTCCCCATCCACGCTTCCATATCGGTCGCAAATAAACAAGGACTTTCTTTTAAACCCATGGTTCTCAGGTGGGCTCCCTGGCCTGGTGGTTAAAGGAATCAGATCCCACATGGCTGACCACATGGTTCAATCCTGGACCTAGTAGCTTAAGAAACACGCCAGGCACATGTGCGTGCCCAAAATCCCGGAAGGAAGGAGAGATGGAGAAGGGACTGCAGTGTGATGTACCCCACTGGGAGGGGGGGGTGCATGCTCACGTGCCCGCACCCTCTCTCTCTCTCTCTCTCTCTCTCTCTCAAGCCAGCGTGCCCCTCTGACAAAACGAAAACCGATGGACCTTGACTAGGGACGATTTGGCCTCTGAGGCACCGTTTGGCTCTGTCCAGGGACAGTTTTAGTCATCGTGCTGGGAACCGGGTGGTCCTGGCATCCATGTGGCTCACCATGCATCAACGCCCAGGACGGCCCTGGGACAAGGCGCCATCCAGTGCCCACAGGCATGTACTATTCGACACGTACCCATGCTGCTCAGACCGCGCCTCGCAAAACTAACAATTCCTCGAGACCATCTATCCCCAGGCTGGTTCAACTGTCCCCAGAATGTGTCCTCTGAGCTGGCGTGTTAGAAACAGACCCCTACCCAGCACGGATGTTGCATCTGGCTGATGTGTCCCTCGAGCTCTAGCACTCCACCCCGCACCGGCTCCCCTCGTCACTTCTTGTTGGAGAGAGACTCGCCCACCCTCTGGACTGGGCCGAGTGCATCCGAGGCCCGGTGCGCACGCTCTGCCCCACACCTACACCCGAGGACTGAGCTCTAGCACTTCCATGAGACAACGGTTCCATTTTTGGCTGAGCACCTGTGGGCGGTGCTGCATCTGTGTCCTGTTGGTGACAGCAAGAGGGATATCGTGTCCAGCTGTCCCTCTTTCGTGATGTTAAAATTATAAGCTCTCCCCAAACTGTTCATGTAACCCCTGACATCGGTGATTTCATTAGAACCCTGATCGTGTCTCCCAGCCCCTGGTCACGTGGCAATGTCTGAAGACAGTTATCACACCTGGGGGAGGGGACTGCAGTGGCTTCTAGTGGGCACAGTCCAGGAATGGGGCTAGGTAGTCGGAGACGCACAGAGAGCCTGGCTACAGAACCACCCTGCCCACGTGGACAGAGCTGAGGCGTGGAACGCACACCCCTCGCGCCCACCTGTTGATTTGGGTGACGTATTGCTTCATCTCTTTGAGGGCCACATCCAGCTTGGTGAAGAGCTGCAGATAGGCGTCCTGGATCTCACGGTCCTCCTGCTTGAGCAGGAAGCTCAGGCCCCGGTCTTCCTGGCCAAGCGCCCCACTGGCTGTCCCAGAGACACTGTCGCCAAGACCTGGGCCTTGGGGGTCCCCGTCCACAGCGGGCAGGCACTTCCAGGATGGGGCAGCCATGGTGGTGATGCAGTGCTGGGTGTAGGACATGGGGTTCAGGTGGCCTACGGGGAGAAAGGGAGGGCTCGCTCAGAAACAGCCCCCAGCCTCCCACGGCGCTCTGGACAGAGACAAAATCCCATTTCAGGATCCCAATGGATGGGAAAATGTTCCCTTTCTGGATTGTTGTTTCATTTGATTTTTTGGCTTAAATGACCCAATGTATTTTCTGACAGTTCTAGAGGCTGAAAGGCGGACCATCAGATGACGTAGCAGTTACATCACTGGTTCAAGTCCCGGACCCAATGGCTTCAAAATCACACCGGGTGCACATGCGTGTGTGCCCAAAATCCCAAGAGAAGAAGAATAGAGGATTGCATTGTGGCCATTTTCCCCAGAGGGAGGAAATGGCTTCTTGCTTTCTGTCTCTCTCTCTGGAGAGAAAAATCTGTCTCTCTCTGTAGCAAAAATTTTTTTCTCTTTTTCTTTTTTTTTGAGAGGTTTTTGCTATAGGGCGCATACGCTCACCAGAAAGACAGAGAGAGAGAGGGATACAGAAAGTGAGAAATCACCCCCCCAGGGGGGATGGCCACTCCGCAATCCCTTCTCCTCCATTCTCCTCTCAGGATCTTGGGCACACATGCACACGCACCTGGCATGAGTTTAAGCAACCAGGTCCAGGACTCGAACCACAATCAATTACATGGGAATCCAGCGACATAGCCATTACGCCAACTGCTGGTCCTGCAAAAATCTCTTAAAAAAAAAAAAACAGAAGCTGAAAGCTTCAGGGCCGGTTCTCTCTTCCTATCTGCACTTCTCACTGTGCCCTCATGTGGCCTCTTTTCAGTACTTTTTTTTTAGAGAATATTATTTTGCTATAGGGCACATGCACTCACCAGAGAGACAGAGACAGAGAGACAGTAAGTGAAAAGGCATCCCCTAGGAGAAATGAACATGCCACAATCCTTTCTCCTCCATTTTCCTCTCAGGATTTTGGGTGTATACATGCATGCACCCAATGTGAGTTTTAAGTCACTGGGTCTGGGACTCAAACCACAGTTGACTACATGGGAGTCCAGTGACATAACCATTATGGCAACTGTTGGTCCTTCTTTTCAATACCTTTAATCCGCTAGGTTACTTCAAAACAAAAGCTTCAGTTTGATGCTAATACACTTTTAACTACTGCTATCTTCTTCCTGTCTGGAATGTGGACATGATCGCTGGAACTCCAGCAGCCATTCTCTACCATGAAACATCTTTAAGGCTATCGGTTGAAGAGCTGCAGATAGGCGTCCTGGATCTCACGGTCCTCCTGCTTGAGCAGGAAGCTCAGGCCCCGGTCTTCCTGGCCAAGCGCCCCACTGGCTGTCCCAGAGACACTGTCGCCAAGACCTGGGCCTTGGGGGTCCCCGTCCACAGCGGGCAGGCACTTCCAGGATGGGGCAGCCATGGTGGTGATGCAGTGCTGGGTGTAGGACATGGGGTTCAGGTGGCCTACGGGGAGAAAGGGAGGGCTCGCTCAGAAACAGCCCCCAGCCTCCCACGGCGCTCTGGACAGAGACAAAATCCCATTTCAGGATCCCAATGGATGGGAAAATGTTCCCTTTCTGGATTGTTGTTTCATTTGATTTTTTGGCTTAAATGACCCAATGTATTTTCTGACAGTTCTAGAGGCTGAAAGGCGGACCATCAGATGACGTAGCAGTTACATCACTGGTTCAAGTCCCGGACCCAATGGCTTCAAAATCACACCGGGTGCACATGCGTGTGTGCCCAAAATCCCAAGAGAAGAAGAATAGAGGATTGCATTGTGGCCATTTTCCCCAGAGGGAGGAAATGGCTTCTTGCTTTCTGTCTCTCTCTCTGGAGAGAAAAATCTGTCTCTCTCTGTAGCAAAAATTTTTTTCTCTTTTTCTTTTTTTTTGAGAGGTTTTTGCTATAGGGCGCATACGCTCACCAGAAAGACAGAGAGAGAGAGGGATACAGAAAGTGAGAAATCACCCCCCCAGGGGGGGTGGCCACTCCGCAATCCCTTCTCCTCCATTCTCCTCTCAGGATCTTGGGCACACATGCACACGCACCTGGCATGAGTTTAAGCAACCAGGTCCAGGACTCGAACCACAATCAATTACATGGGAATCCAGCGACATAGCCATTACGCCAACTGCTGGTCCTGCAAAAATCTCTTAAAAAAAAAAAAACAGAAGCTGAAAGCTTCAGGGCCGGTTCTCTCTTCCTATCTGCACTTCTCACTGTGCCCTCATGTGGCCTCTTTTCAGTACTTTTTTTTTAGAGAATATTATTTTGCTATAGGGCACATGCACTCACCAGAGAGACAGAGACAGAGAGACAGTAAGTGAAAAGGCATCCCCTAGGAGAAATGAACATGCCACAATCCTTTCTCCTCCATTTTCCTCTCAGGATTTTGGGTGTATACATGCATGCACCCAATGTGAGTTTTAAGTCACTGGGTCTGGGACTCAAACCACAGTTGACTACATGGGAGTCCAGTGACATAACCATTATGGCAACTGTTGGTCCTTCTTTTCAATACCTTTAATCCGCTAGGTTACTTCAAAACAAAAGCTTCAGTTTGATGCTAATACACTTTTAACTACTGCTATCTTCTTCCTGTCTGGAATGTGGACATGATCGCTGGAACTCCAGCAGCCATTCTCTACCATGAAACATCTTTAAGGCTATCGGCCACTTCTAGAGACAGTAGGAACCTGGATCGCTGACGACTGTGGAGCTGCCTTTCCAGCCCTGGACAGCTGACCTTCAGATATCTTTCTGTTTACACATCTGCCATGTAATATCTGAACACAACTTAATAGACGCACACTGGTACCTTGCTCTGGATCCAGGCCAATGAGGGAGGGTTTGCGACCAAAGCGGATGCTGAAGGATCTGCCAACTGAGGGGGTGGTCTTGGGGTAGGACACTTCCATGAGATTGATGTGACAATTGGTGGGGCAGAAGTCCAGGCCACACAGCGGACGGGGTTCCAGGGGTGCCTGTTTGAAGGGTGGGCTGACCCTGCTCTTCAGCTGGGCTGCAAACTGAGAATGGTGGGGTCGGGGGGTCATGAGTCAGTGGTCATGTTCTAGGAATTCTGGCCCTGCCCCCACGCCCGCTTTACCCTGGCCTAGGCCAGCCATTCCCCAACTACACACAATGCCTGTGGTCCACATGGAAGTGGTTCCCCCTACACCGTCTCCCTGGGCCCAGAGTTCAGGGAAGGCCTGGAGGAAGCCGAGGCCTCTGAGAACTTGGCCTCATCCCCTCCTCCATTTTAGCCACGCCCAAGCAGTCCCTGGTGCCAGCTCCCTGAAGCCCTGTCCTGAGGCTCAGCAAGGGCTGTCTCCCATGTCCACGCCTGGGAAGGAGCCAGACAAGGGAGCCAAGCCACGCCAACGAGAGTGCCCCTTGGGTGACCTTCTCTCGGAGCGCTAACGGCGACAGCTTCTGGACACCATCCTGTTACCTCACGAGAAGGGGCTGCCTGACAGGGATGCTGACATGGGAGACAGCACTCAGGAGCCAGAGCAAGGCCACACTGCTGGGGCACAGCCGCACCTGTTTACCCGCCTGGCCCAGGCCTGACGCTCACCTCTGCTACCCCTGCCCCTGCAAGCTACGCTGGGTGGGGCTTTTGCCGGAACAGCAGGCCAGGCTGAGGCCCTGGGTCTGGGGGCCACAGCAGAGGCCCTGTAGGAAGTGCGCACCTCCAGGTAGCAGCCGATCCTCTGGCCGATGCCCTCCAGCTTGGTGTCACAGATGTGGCGGAACTCGTAGTGGGACATGGTCACCATGGCGCTACTCAGGGCCATGAGCTGCCCACAGTTCTGCACGAAGACGCTGTCATCGGCTGCAAAGGCCTCGAGGATCTGTGAGACACGACCAGCCACTGAGCACCCCCCCCCCAGCCACTGAGCACCCCGTGTGCATGGGAGGCTCTTGTGCGGTTTCCCTGGGGGGCTCCTGGCCGGCTCCCACCTCTGGGGTATCCTCGAGGGTGTGGGAGAGCCACGGGTGATGCCTGCATGGCCGTAAACTGCCTGAGGTCAGGGCTATCAATGGCCCCTTCTGCAGATGAGTCAACTGAGGCTAAAGAGATGATGTATCGGTGCCAGCAGGGAGCATGGCGGCTAGGGTGCTGGACTCCCACATGGCCAACTGTGGTTCAAATTCCAGGCCTGACAATTTGAGAATCACGCCCAATGTGTTGCACATGTCATGTCCCAAATCCCGAGAAGAGAATGGAGGAGAGGGGACTGCGGTGTGGCCATCCCCCCAGGGGTGATTTCCCACTCTTTCTCTCTCTTACTGGTGAGTACATGGCCTATGGCAAAAACTTAGGGGGAAAAAAATGACAAGTCATTCTCCTAAGTCTCACAGCTACCAGGGGTGGGAGAGGGACTAGAATTCAGGGCTCTAGGCTACCTCTGAGGAAATGGGACTCAGGCTGCCCCCAGCCCCAGCCCAGGGCAGGGAGGCGGTGCCGGGACCTTGGCAGTGAGGCCGAAGCAGCCGCGGGGCTCGACGATCTTCTCCAGCACGTGGCACTTGACGCCTGCCGTGCTCACATACTCGTACACCACGCCGTGTTCCAGGTGCACGTTGTCCACGGTCAGGCTGACCACGGGGCTGTCCTCACGCAGGCTCAGCTGGGGACCCAGGGACAGCAAGGGGAAGGCTGCAAGCCAAAGGGGCAGACGCCATTGAGGGGCACCTCCACAGCCAGGCAGGCCCTGCCGCCAGCACCACCAACCGCTCGTTTGAGCTACGGGAAACTGAGCCCCGTCCTGCAGCTCTGTCCTGGGCGGCCCGCTCATTCAGCTGTCCCAGAAGACTTTCCTCCCAGGAGTCAAACCCGTGCCCCACTCTCGGCCTCGGTCGCTTTGGAAGCTCCCGTCATGCCCCTGTCTTCCCATTACCTGAATCAGGCTGGTCCTCCTCCCCAGCATCCTCGCCACTGGGGTCCTCACCAGGGGGCTCCTGGCTGGCTCGTGCCTCCTGGGCATCCTCATGGGTGTGGTAGATCCACTGGTA